GATCCAGTGGAATCTGATCCTGACCCGACTCCAGAGCTGGGATCCAGTGGAATCGAGCTGGGATCCAGTGGAATCTGCTCCTGACCTGCCTCCTCCCAGCTCCAGAGCTGGGATCCAGTGGAATCTGTTCCTGACCCACCTCATCCTGACTCCAGAGCTGGGATCCAGTGGAATCTCATCCTGCCCCAACTCCAGAGCTGGGATCCAGTGGAATCAAGCTTGGATCCAGTGGAATCTGATCCCGACCCGACTCCGGAGCTGGGATCCAGTGGATCCATCCCTGAGCCGCCTCCTCCCGGCTCCGGAGCCTCCTCCCGGCGCCCGCCCCGGCTCCGGGAATTCCTTTCTGTTGGAAGTGGGAAAAAGCCACGGGCACAAACTGGAGGGTTTTGTCCCGCTCCGGGGGGATCCCGAGGAACCCTTGGCCGCCGAGGATCCCGGGAATTTGTGGATCCAGAGATCTTAAAAGTGAAGAATAAAATTTATTTTCTATGTCCCGAGCCCGGAGGGGCCGGAGCCGCTTCCTCTGGGAAAACCCTTCCCAGGGAAAAAATCAGGGAGCCCTGGATGGGGCTGGGAACAACCCGGGAGAGGGGAATGGCTCAGTGGTCCCTTCCCACCTGGAATTCCCATCCCGGGATTCAGGATGGGGCCGGAATCCCCCCCAGGGGGGTCCAGGGGTCCCTCTCCCCCTCAGCCCAGAATTCCCAGGGAGTCATTCCCAGGGAGTCATTCCCAGCCCAGGAATTCCCAGGGAGTCATTCCCAGCCAAGGAATTCCCAGCCCAGAATTCCCAGGGAGTCATTCCCAGCCCAGAATTCCCACGGAGTCATTCCCAGCCCAGAATTCCCAGGGAGTAATTCCCATTAAAGGAATTCCCAGGGAGTCATTCCCAGCCCAGAATTCCCAGGGAGTCATTCCCTGCCCAGAATTCCCAGGGAGTCATTCCCAGGGAGTCATTCCCTGCCCAGAATTCCCAGGGAGTCATTCCCAGCCAAGGAATTCCCAGCCCAGAATTCCCAGGGAATCATTCCCATTAAAGGAATTCCCAGGGAGTCATTCCCAGCCCAGAATTCCCAGGGAGTCATTCCCTGCCCAGAATTCCCAGGGAGTCATTCCCAGCCAAGGAATTCCCAGCCCAGAATTCCCAGGGAGTCATTCCCAGCCCAGAATTCCCAGGGAGTCATTCCCAGCCCAGGAATTCCCAGGGAGTCATTCCCAGCCAAGGAATTCCCAGGGAGTCATTCCCAGCCAAGGAATTCCCAGGGAGTCATTCCCAGCCCACAATTCCCAGGGAATCATTCCCAGCCCAGAATTCTCAGCCCAGAATTCCCAGCCAAGGAATTCCCAAGGAGTCATTCCCAGAAAAGGAATTCCCAGGGAGTCATTCCCAGCAAGTCATTCCCAGTATGGAATTCCCAGGAAGTCATTCCCATCCCGGAATTCCCAGCCCAGAATTCCCACAGAGCCACAAACGGGGCAAAACATGGAAAAAAAGAGACTTTAATCACAAGGGGGGGGTCGGGGGGTGGAAATGGGGCCGGAGGGGGGGGGGGGCAACAGGTCCTGGCAGGGCCACGGGCAGTGACAGGTCCTGGCAGCTGCCTGCACAGGCAGGTCCTGGCAGGGCCATGGACAGGGACAGGTCCTGGCAGGGCCATGGACAGCAGCAGCAGGTCCTGGCAGGGCCACGGGCAGTGACAGGTCCTGGCAGCTGCCTGCACAGGCAGGTCCTGGAAGGGCCACAGACAAGGCCAGGTCCTGGCAGGGCCGCGGGCAGTGACAGGTCCTGGCAGGGCCGCGGGCAGTGACAGGTCCTGGCAGGGCCACGGACAGACCCAAGTCCTGGCAGGGCCATGGACGGCAGCAACGGGTCCTGGCAGGGCCACGGGCAGTGACAGGTCCTGGCAGGGCCATGGACAGAGCCAGGTCCTGGCAGCTGCCTGCACAGGCAGGTCCTGGCAGGGCCATGGGCAGCAGCCACAGGTCCCCGCAGGTCCTGGCAGTACCACAGGCAGGGACAGGTCCTGGCAGGGCCATGGACAAAGCAAGGTCCTGGCAGGGCCCTGGGCAGCCCCCACAGGTCCTGGCAGGTCCGAGCTCCGGGCAGGGGGTGTGACAAGGACAGAGGGACAGGGGACAGTGCGATAAAGTGCCGAAACGCCGCGGAGGCTCCACCGGGGCCGGGAGGGTCCCACAGCTCCCCCCCCGGGGCAGTGCGGGGGGGTCCCAGAGCCCCCCCAGGGCCGAGGGGTCCCCCCACAGCCCCCTCGGGGAACCAGGGGGATCCCACAGCCCCCTCAGGGTCAGGGGGTCCCCCAGGGAACCAGGGGGTCCCAGAGTCCCCCCGGGGGCTGAGGGGTTCCCCCACAGCCCCCCCAGGGAACCAGGGGGATCCCACAGCAGCCCCAGGGAACCAGGGGATCCCACAGCACCCCCAGAGCAGCAAGGGGGTCCCCACAGCCCCCTCGGAGTCAGGGGGTCCCCCACAGCCCCCTTGGGGCAGTGCAGGGGTCCCAGAGCCCCTCCCAGGGCTGGGGGGTCCCCCACAGCCCCCTCGGAGTCAGGGGGTCCCCCACAGCCCCCTTGGGGCAGTGCAGGGGTCCCAGAGCCCCTCCCAGGGCTGGGGGGTCCCCCACAGCCCCCTCGGAGTCAGGGGGTCCCCCACAGCCCCCTTGGG